TACCATGTTCTTGGATTGGAAGAATCAATACTGTGAAAATGACTATACTACCCAAAGCAATCTACAGAGTCAATGCAATCCCTATCAAATTACCAATGACATTTTTTACAGAACTAAAACAAAAAATCTTAAAATTTGTATGGAGACACAAAAGACCCTGAATAGCCAATGAGGCCTTGAGGGAAGAAAACAGAGCTGGAGGGATCGGACTCCCTGACTTCAAACTATACTACAAAGCTATAGTAACCAAGACAATATGGCACTGGCAGAAAAACAGAAATATAGATCAATGGAACAGGATAGAAAGTCCAGACATAAACCCACGGACCTGTGGTCAACTAATCTATGACAAAGGAGGCAAGGTTATACAATGGAGAAAAGACAGTCTCTTCAATAAGTGGTGCTGGGAAAACTGGACAGCTACATGTAAAAGAATGAAATTAGAACCCTCCCTAACACCATACACAAAAATAAACTCAAAATGGATTAGAGACCTAAATGTAAGACCGGACACTATAAAACTCTTAGAGCAAAACACAGGAAGAACACTCTTTGACATAAATCACACCAAGATCTTTTTTGATCCACTTCCTAGAGTAATGAAAATAAAAACAAAAATAAACAAATGGGATCTAATGAAAGTTAAAAGCTTTTGCACAGCAAAGGAAACTACAAACAAGACGAAAAGACAACCCTCAGAATGGGAGAAAATATTTGCAAACGAATCAACAAAGGAGTAATCTCCAAAATATATAAACAGCTCATGCAGCTCAGTATTAAAAAAACAAACAACCCAAAAAAAAAAAAAAAACCCCAAACAACCCAATCCAAAAATGGGCAGAAGACCTAAATAGACATTTCTCCAAAGAAGACATACAGATGGCCAATAAGCACATGAAAAGCTGCTCAACATCACTAATTATTAGAGAAATGCAAATCAAAACTACAATGAGATATCACCTCACATCAGTTAGAATGGGGCATCATCAGAAAATCTACAAACAAGAAATGCTGGAGAGGGTGTGGAGGAAAAGGAACCCTCTTGCACTGTTGGTGGGAATGTAAATTGATACAGCCACTATGGAGAACAGTATGAAGGTTCCTTAAAAAACTAAAAATAGAATTACCCTATGACCCAGCAACCCCACTACTGAGCATATACCCAGAGAAAACCATAATTCAAAAAGACACATGCACCCCAATGTTCACTGTAGCACTATTTACAATAGCCAGGACATGTAAGCAACCTAAATGCCCATCAACAGATGAATGGATAAAGAAGATGTGGTGCATATATACAATGGAATATTACTCAACCATAAAAAGGAATGAAATTGGGTTATTTGTAGAGACGTGGATGGATCTAGAGACTGTCATACAGAGTGAAGTAAGTCAGAAAGAGAAAAACAAATATTGTATATTAATACATATATGTAGAACCTAGAAAAATGCTACAGATGAACTGGTTTGCAGGGCAGAAATTGAGACAGAGATGTAGAGAACAAACGTATGGACACCAAGGGGAAAAAGTGGTGGGGGGGAGGTGGTGGTGGTCTGATGAATTGGGAGACTGGACTGACATATATACACTAATATGTATAAAACAAATAACTAATAAGAACCTGCTGTATAAAAATAAAATTGAAAAATTAAAAAAAAGAATTCTGCTAAAGTTGCAGAATACAAAATTTATACATAGAAATCTCTTGCATTTCTATACACTAACAATGAAAGATCAGAAAGAAAAGTTAAGGAAACAATCCCATTTACCATCACATCCAAAGAATAAAATAACTAGGAATAAACCTACCTAAGGAAGCAAAAGATCTGTACTCCAAAAACTTTAAGACACTAATGAAAGAAATGGAAGATGACACAAACAGATGTAAAGATATATCCTGTTCTTGGATTGGAAGAATCAATATTGTCAAAATGAGTATACTATCCAAGGAAATTTACAGATTCAGTGCAATCCCTATCAAATTACACATTTTTACACATTTTTCACAAAATTAGAACAAAATTTTTTTAAATTTGTATGGTAACAACGAAGATCCCAAATAGCCAAAGGAATTCTCAGAAAGAAAAATGCCACTGGAGGAGTCAGGCTCCCTGACTTCAGACTATGCTAGAAAGCTACAGTAATCAAAACAGTATGGTACTGGCACAAAAACAAATACAGATCAATTGAACAAGACAGAAAGCCTGTTGGGCATATAAAAGTTATGTTTATACTACACCATAGTCTATTAATTATGCAATAGCACTATGTCTAAAAAATTATGTACATACCTTAATTAAAAAATACTTTTTGTGAAAAATTGCTAACCATCATCTGATCTTTCAGAGACTCACTGTAGTAAAATCAAAGATCACTGATCACAGGTCACCATAACAAATATAATAATGAAAAAGTCTGAAATATTGCAAGAATTAGCAAAATCTGATATAGAGACATGAAGTGAACAAATGCTGTTTAAAAATGGCATCAACAGACTTGCTCAATCCAGGGTTGCCATAAACCTAAATTTGTAAAGAACAGTAATGTGAAGCACACAAAGAGGTGCAAAATAAAACAAGGCACACCTATAAATAGTTGTCAGCTCAAGGCAAATTCAAGTTTTCCTTCCTGGCACTGTATTCCAAAATATTTTCCATCTGAGGTTAAATTCCCAGATGCAGAACCTATTGATATGGAGGGCTGACTGTACTCAGAAGTCATCCACGTATGGAAACTGAAGCCATGGAGAAGGGATGAAATCATCCAGGGATAATGTGAATAGCAGAAGAGAAAGAGAAAAAAAGCCACAAAAGTAAGAAGAATTAAGTGAGAGTGATGTTGCAGATAGAAGGAATGACTTTCCATGAGAAAGTCATGAACAGTGTTGACTGCCACAGGGTTTAGATAAGGTTTAAAAAATGTCCATCTGATTTATCAATTGAGAAGTCACTCATTTTCTCAAAATATTGGAAGAAAAAGGAAATAAACCATTCAACTTGCTTTCTTGAGGACAAGAGAGATCTAGTATTTCACACAGAAAGAAGCCAGCTGAAGAAAGAGTGTCTAAAAACTGATGAGGGCATATCAAATAATGATCAGAGGACACAAGCAGGACTGGAATTGAGACTCAACGCTGGAGCAAACTTGATAACTGAGATAACGTTAACTGTTTCCCCACAGGATTATTATACATTGTTAAGAGAATACTAATTAGCATAATCACTACAGTGGTCACTTGGCACCATTTAGCAAAATGTTAATATTTTGTGTAACATGTATACATTATCTGACCTGACAATTCTACACCTAAAAATTTATCCTACAGATATATTTGTATTGGACAAAATGATACGTACAAGATTACTCATTACAGCATTGTTTGAAGCAGAAAAAGACTGGAAATAACCCAACTATCCATCAAGACACAACTTTAGTTATGGTATATCCAGACAAACTAAGTAGCTGTGAAAAAAAATTAGAATGTTCTCTATGTACTGATATGAAAATCTCCTGGATATAGTAGATAAAGCAAAAAATAAAAGTGCAGAAAAATGTGAAGTTACTTTTTGTCTGTAAAAAGGGGGAAAACAGAATACTATATTCGTAGGGACTTCCATGGTGGCACAGTGGTTAAGAATCCACCTGCCAATGCAGGAGACACGGGTTCGATCCATGGTCTGGGAAGATCCCACATGCCGTGGAGCAACAAAGCCCGTGCGCCTAGAGCTCGTGCTCCTCAACAACAGAAGCCAACGCAATGAGAAGCCCACACACCTCAACGAAGAGTAGCCCCTGCTCGCCACAACTAGACAAAGCATGTGCAATGCACCCAAAAATAAATAAACTTGTAAAAAAAAAAAAAAGAATACTATACTTGTATTTCCTTGAATATAAATAAAGCATCTGGAGAGCTAAGAATCTAAGAACAGTGGTTACTTATGACTCTAAAGAACAGTGGTTACTTATGATGGAGAGGGCTCACACAGGAGAGATGGCGGACAAGAATAAGACCTTACACTTTACATTTTCATGGCTTGTGAGCCATGAGAATATATTACCTACTCAAAAATAAAGCTAAAAAAACTTTCACTTTTTTCCAACACAGAAGTTAAGAGAATGTAAAAAAAAAAAAAGAGAGAATATAATAATGATGCTAATAGACTCAAGATTAAAAGTGACAGACGTTTAAACAGTAGAGTTTAAGCTTCTGCTTCTATTTTCTCCACGAAGCAGCTGAGAAAATAAGGATAAATGTGAGGGGTGAACACGGTATAAGGAGCTAGAAGAAAACGACGTAGAAATAGAAGCTGTAGAGAACGGAATTGGGAGCTTTAAAAATACATAATGAAAATACACTAGACATGACTAAGAATTCTACATATAGAAAGAAAAAAAAAAGATATATTGGTCCTGTTCAGTGAAACACACGCCACCTAGAACTGTGTCATCTTGTGGAAAGAGGAAATGGAAAAGTCATCTTTTAAGATAATTTACTTAGGCACGTGACAGCATGAAGGAACGCCAAAACAGACTAATCCCTGCTCCCCTCCTCTCAATACTCTTTGTCCCCGGAGTATTTCCAGAGCCTAGCACAATGCCTGGCACAGGCTGACGCTCAAAAATTCAACTATTCATAAATTCATTAACTCTGGCCTTAAGGGAAATCAAGAAAGGAGTCCTTTGCTTCAAAGTCGGAACAACGGAACCTGTCGCATGGTTCTGCGCACTATTTTCAACACGGGAAGGGAGTGTCAGACTCACCCAGGGGCAGACAGAGGAGAGAACAAGAATCACCCTGACCGAGATGATAAAGGCTACGTTCCCTGCACCCTCCACCTCTCAAAATCCCGGATTCGTTCCCGGCCTCGGGAGTGTGGGGAAACGACTGGGGCCATGGTGCGGCGGGCCGGGGAGGAGGCCGCAAATCCTCAATTAGTCCAGCTACCCACGTTTCCCCCCTTAGATGGGTCGCCGCGGAGTGTTCTGAGTGGTCACCTACCCTCGTGTGCGTCACACATATTGACAAACGGTTCACGAGAAGCTAACTCTCAAAACCACAGAGAGAAAAGCCAAGCGCCCACAGACCTACGCAGCGTCGAAAGAAAACATTTCCGTGTCGGGCGTTCCCAGAATACTCTGCGTCTCACGGCGCGGGAGGGGCAGGGGGAGCGGAAAAAAAAAAAAAAAAGCCCAATATTAATTCTGCGCCTGCGCAAAGTGTAGGTTAAGCTTTGCTGACGGCTTGAACTGCACATGCGCAACTTGTGGGCTGAAGCTTCAAGCGGTTGAAGCAGGGGCTGCTTCTACACTCTCAAGCTTTGGATCTAGCCAATGAAAGTTTTTGCTTTTTAATGCTGTTGCACAAATGACACATGGAAAAAAACCCAAGAAGATGTATTAATAAAAGGTTTTTACCATTGTAAAGCAATTATACTCTAATATAAAGATGTTTTAAAAAGTTTTTATTGTGGCCATATGTCTGCGGCATTCGATTTTCTATTTTTTTCCAGTTCCAAAGACAAAAAAAACACGAAGATTTTAAAAATGTGATTTCTTACCAGCAGATGGTGCCAGCGGCGGCGCGTTGAAGAAGCCTGAAAGTGAACAAACCCTCACTCGCTAGCCTATTCAACCGTAGTCTTAAGCCCCCGGTGCCTTTATCTCGGTTTCAACTGGGCTCTCAGGCCACAGAGCCTTCCTCGCGAGAACTTACGAGATTAGACGCGAGAGGAGGAGCCGAAGTGCGACGCTGACAAATGACAGCTCTCAGGTAGTCTCTACTGTTTTGCGCACATCTGGGGCCACAGAGCACGTGAGAAAAGGTGGCTCAGCCCCTTTTGCCCACGCCCGCGTTTCTCATGCTGCCCACGGGCCTCACTCATAGGCTGCTATGCAGCTTCCTGCGGGGATCCACTCCCACGATAGCGCGCCATGGCCTCCGGGAGACGCTCCTCGAGAGGAGATGTGCGGCCAACTCCTCCTCCCTGTACCCATCCGGCCTGGGATGTGGGCTTCCCCGTGGCGCGACAGCGACTGGGGATAACCAAGGAAGGGCTGACGTGGAGGAGAGTTTTGTGTTCCCCGAGTACGTTCCGGATTCGGAGCCCGCAGTGACCCTCCAGGACCAGCTGCGGGAGCTGCAGCAGCGGCAGGAAGAGGAGGAGCGACGGTGCTGCAGCGGCGGGAGGAGCGGTGGCAGCAGGAACTACGGAACTCCCGGCAGATGCACCCAGACCGTGTGCCAGCGCTGCTGACTGCTGGTGTTTCACCGGCGCGCCCTGCACCTGCAGGTGAGCCGCGAGCAGTAGTACCTGGAGCTGGTGACCGCCGCGCTGCGGAGGCCCAAGCTCGCCCTGGTGCTGTACATGATGGACCTGCTTGATCTGCCCGACGCCCTGCTGCCGCACCTGCCCGCGCCGGTGGGCCCCAAGCAGCTGATCTTGCTGGGAAACAAGGTGAACCTGCTGCCCCTGGATACTCCCGGCTACCGACAGCGGCTCCAGGAGCGACAGTGGAACGACTGTGCCCGCGCCGGGCTCCTGCCGCCCCCTGGCTACCGAAGGCCACAACACCCCAGCGGGGACCGGCCACGGGACGAGCAGGAGAAAGCGAATCCTTCGCCCAAGTCCAGCACGATGCTCAGAGACGTGCGGCTCATCAGCTTCAAGACTGGCTATGGAGTCGAAGAGCTTGATCTCCGCGCTCCGGCGTTCCTGACGCTACCGCGGCGACGTCTACGTGGTTGGCGCCACCAACGCTGGCAAGTGCACTCTCTTCTACACGCTTCTGGAGTCCGATTACTGCATCGCCAAGGGCGCCGAAGCTATAGACCAGATGGTGAGCCTTAGGGCGCCAGTCCCCATCGTTTTCTGAGACGCTGGGAGTCTGATCGTGGTTCAGGCACCTAATCCTATATCTTTCATTAATGTCCACCAGGGACTGGCTGGAGCCTTCACTTTAAAAATTATCTACCTACTTTGGTCACATTTCTCTTCTGTGTCAGTTTAGTGCTTGGAAATTCAGTATATGTTGTAGTAACTTTCCAACATAAATAATTAGAGTACTTCTATGTACCAGTCCCTCTTCTAGGCACTGTATGTGAACCAGATGACAAAGTAGTTTCTGTTATCTTGGAGGTTTCCCTCGTAGCTTTAGTTCTTTGTATATTTCTCCGGAAAATCCTTCTTTCACTTTCTACACCTAGCTTCACCCCTCACTTTCTCTTCATATCTTGAGTTGACTCATGAGATTACTATACAGATTTAACATTTGAATAATTCACTAATGCAATATGATGTGTGGCTTCGCTGAGAAGAATGTCAAATGTCAAATATGTGGCTTTAAGAAACGTCTGTGGTAACTGCAGAATGGGTGCTTCTATGGCCCTGTTTGCCATAGAAGGCAAAACTAAATACTTCATTTGTTCCTTTGAAACCAGTATTTAACTTTGAAAAGCTGTTTTTCTCTGTAGAGAACTTTAGTTGACTTATACACACAGCAGTTTTATACTGGTTGGTAGTTTTTCATTGTATAAAATAAGTTCCTTCTTCCTTTCTTAAGGAAAATCAGTGAACGGTGCTTACAGTTGTGGCTTCCAACTTCCTTCCCGTTCACATTACTTCATTGGACAAGGTGGACACTGTATATCAGAAGCACGGGGGTCATACGTTACTCAAGGTGAGGCAACATGCTTTGATGGTTGTATAGTTAGGTTAACACACCCTGCTAAAAAAGACTTTGTTGGACAGAACCAACTTTGTTACACCATCAGCTAGCTCTCCCCGACCTTGTTCACCTTGAGGATTTTGGCTATAAATTGAGGTGGGCTCTTATAGAAAAGTGATGTTGGATTGGACTGATCCTAGAATAGTGACAGAGCTGGGTTTTCTCTAGGTGACACTGTCCAATATTGTAGCGCCATGCATCTATTTAAATAAGTTAATTAAAATGAAATAAACTTTAAAATTTAGTCCTTCCCTTGCACTAGCCACTTTTCAACTGCCCAACGGTCACATCATTGCAGAAAGTTGTACTGGATAATGTGAGTGAAGAGCTCTAAGTTACAGATTTTCTCACAACTGGGTGATGCTACTGGCATCTAGTGGGTGGAAGCCAGAGATGATGCTAAACATAATGCAATGCACAAGACAGTACCTCACAACACAGAATTATCTGGTCCAAAATATGAGTAGTGCTGAGTTGCGAAGCCCTTGTATGAGTGGAAAAGCTCTCCTCCGAGGTTCTTAATCCCAGGCACTTAGAGGTTATCGTACCTCTTCTCTCCTGCTTTACTTGCTCCTTCCTTTCACCTGTTAAGGAGTGTGTTAAAATTTCTCTGACCTTTAAAAAACAAAACAAAACTCAGTGTCCCACTCGTTCCACCTCTTTACAATCAAGCTTACTCCTCACGTCCCATGCTCTGCAGTCCCTGTTGTGCCCTTTCTATGCCACTGAAATTGTTCCAAGTTCACCAGAGACTGAATGGGGCCTGTTTACAGATCTTTAACCAGACATGGGTATACACTGTTGGCTGGTGTGTAGTGTATGATAGTTAAGATCTCTGGAGCCAAGCTGGGTCCAAATCCTGCTCTGCTCCACCACTTAACAAAGCTGTGTGACTTTAGGTAAGTTTCCTTTACCTCTCTCTGTTGTACCTACACCACGAGGTTGTGGAGAAGATCAAGTGCAAGGGGACTGTTGTCACTGCTACGTAAGTATTTGTGGTGATGAAGATTATGGGACATACCTACTGCAAAAATAGCGGGTACGTCCAATGCAGAGGTGATTTACCATTAATTAATGCTCATACAACTGAAAATAAGTCAAAACACAAAATACACACCCGCCCTTCAACAAGGATAAAACCAACCTGACTTGGGAAGTAAATGCTTCTTTCTCTCTGGATTTCCTAAGAAAGCCAGAGTGAAATTAAAACTCCATCGAAATAACTGCCCTAAAGTTAATACTCCAGAGGCATGTGGGATTTTCAGGGTAGGGCTCCACCCCCATGCATCTGTGTAGTCTTCAGAGTGGACTCGCTGATAGTTCACAAAACAACACTGAGGCTTCTCTCCCGGTGTAATACAAATGGCTTCTTGGGCTGCTCTGTGGCTCATCCTTGCCTTCTGGTTTTCTTACTCACCTCCCAAGTCAAAGTCAATCCTGCCTCCTAATTATCACTGAGTCCAGCCTCATAGTCCAAACTGTAATCTACTTTCTTTAGGCTGTTTTGAGATCCTGTTTTGAGGTATTTTCCCAGCTCCCAGTTTTACCGCCTTCTGCCCACCCTCACCCCATCACAGCTGTAGTTCTCAACCAGGGTTGACTCTTAAGGGAACATTTGACAAAGACTGGAGGCGTTTTTGGTTTTCACAACTTGGTGGATGCTGAGTAGAGGCTGCTAAAAATTGTGCAATGCACAGGACAGCCTCCCGAGACAAAGAATTATTTGGCCCAAAAGGTCAATAGTGCTGAGGTTGAGAAACCCTGCACTACGCAGATTTTTCCAAAATACAAAGCAGGCCACAGTATTCTTTTTTGATTCTTTTCTCTTTCCTGCTTATAATTCCTTGGTAGTTCCACATTACTGAGAGAAGTCTAAACTGATAGCCTCATCACTAATGCACACACACACATAACATACTCTGCACAGTTAAACTACAGTTCTCTGAACTCATTATCCTTTTTCCAATTTCTGTGTCTGTACATGATACTAACCCAGGATACCTTCCCACTGAATAACTTTAATCTATTTTTCAAATTCTGCTCTTCATTAATGTTTTCCTTGACCAAACCACGTTCATTACTTCCTTCACAATCACAGTACTTAGTAGATGCCTCTCATCACGTTTCTTACCTTGTAATTTATTTACTTGCTGTTTCCACCTTCTGATCTCCTCGGGGGTAGGGACCATATAGAACATATTGTAATAGCTATCTTTGTGTCCTTAGTGCTAAACACGGAGAGATCTGTTAATAAACAGGTAAATTATTATCCAGTTACTTCCAATTCATGTAAACATAGAAGCTGAATCTTACCCGTTATCCATGTACCCTTGAGAGGTGATGAGGCAGGGATTAATCTCTGTGTCCAGCCAGGCCTGTAAGAACTAAGGTATTTGGAAGGATGTTGCTTTAATTGCCCAAAATTATTGTGTCTAAAGCTTTATGGAGGACTGTAAAAACTGTAAGCTAATAAAGCAAGATTCTGCTGTCTGGAGGTTACCACCAGTTGGATGCCCACATGGGGCCCTTGTCACTGGGATCTATAGGCTTCATCCCATCACAGAGCTCCCAGGTTTTTCATTTGATCTAGAAGTGATTTGAGGTTTTTTCAACAGTTGAATGTTTAAAAGGATTTTATTCTTGATACCTGTACAGTATTATCTTATCAGTGCCTTACTTAATATTAGAGTTATCAGGGGTTTAATTTGAACCTCCAAATATCTTCATCTCCTTCCAATGGAAGGTTCCAATGGGTGGAGAAGAAAGAATGGCAGGATTTCCTCCTCTTGTTGCTGAAGACATCACACTAGATGAAGGACTTGGGGAACCTGAAGCAGTGGCTGACATCAAGTTCTCCTCTGCAGGTAATTTTACACCAAGCACTTTTTTATCTTTTTTAATTTGGCCGCACCGCGCGGCATGTGGGATCTTAGCTCCCTGACCAGAGATCGAACCCGCACCCCCTGTAATAGAAGCACGGAGTCTTATCGACTGGACCGCCAGGGAGGTCCCTACACCAAGCACTTTTTAAAAGGTGAATAAAGTAGCCTTACTGACCTTTAGTATATTTTTATACAGATATGCCTTAACTGACATAAGCTGAATATTTTAAGAAATACATACTAGATTATTCATAAGATGTAACCTACTCTGAAAATAAATCTGTACCTTTTCACAAATGCATTGTATGCTTTTAAAAAATAGAGTGAAAGACAGCAGTAGCCTCCCTTGGGTTTCCATTTTGAGCTGTGTTTGGTGTTTTTAATAAGATAGTTGCTAACACCACCTGTGTTCTGCGTGTTCTTGCATAGGCTGGGTAGCAGTAACGCCGCAGTTTAAGGACAAACTGCACCTCCGAGGCTACACACCTCAAGGAACAGTTCTGACGGTCCGGCACCCATTCTTGCCACATGTAGTTAACATCAAAGGAGAGCGCATCTGGAGAAGAGTGGCCTATAAAACCAAAAAGCCTCCTGCCCTTGTGTACAATCTGCAGAAAAAGAAAAAAAGATAAATATATGAAGCTGACCTGTTCACATTGAAGATTAACGATATACAACATACTGTATACATTACATTGCATTAAATATTGCTATAATAAAACCTTCCGCCACCCTTTTTAAGCTACCAAGGACCGTGCCAGTTTTTAATGAATTGAGCTTGTAAACAAAAGTTATTTTTTGCTGGGTACATATATGTGTATATCTGTGATTCAGATATACCTAAAAAGGAGTTCTGTTGAATTCAGGTTTCTCCCACTATATTTTTAATGAAACCAGATGGCATTTCTAATTTGGAGTCTAGTTGAGAGAGCAGCTTAGCAGTTGGCATATGAAAAAATGGCAGAAAATCAATGTCTCCAAAATACATGGGCTGAAATGAGATAGAAGCGAGTAAGTGGCTTTGCTCCACAGAGTCATCCAGGGACCCCACCGGGGGAACATGCCGCAGCTTCCATCTCTGGGTCTAAGGTGGTTGCTCAAGTTGTCATCCTTTCGCAATGGCAAAAAGAGAAGAGAGTGAAGAGCGTGCAGCTCCCCTACTGAAAAGAAGGGGGAAGTGCTGGAAGTTGCCCACATCACAGCGTCCATTGGTCAACACTTACATGGCCACACCCCCCACGGGGAAGCTGGAGGATGTAGAGGGAAATGGGGATTTCGGACTTGTATTACTTAAGGGAAGAAAGGGAGAATGGAAACTGGAAAACAAGTAGAAGTTTCTCTTACATAATCTAAAAGGGCCTGAAAATCTTAGAAAAGAATTCATGTTATGTCTTTCTGGCATTCAGTTTCTTCTGCAAGGATCAGAGCACTTTAACCATTTTATCAACATTTGCCTGTAAACACTGTATAACATTACATCAGTCAGAAGTCTTTACCTTTATGTATTCCTAAATGAGTAAGTGGCACTAGAGCTGTGGACAATGCACTGGCCAGTCAAGTCCCAGATCCCAATGTTGAGATAAAAGCTCGTGGAGTAAGCTGGCCTGAAACGCAGATCCATGAGCTTCCTATAGACTCAGGTTTAGCATGAACTTTTTTAAAAAATAAATTTATTTTATTTATCTTTGTCTGCACTGGGTCTTCGTTGCTGCGTGTGGGCTTTCTCTAGTTGAGGCGAGCGGGGGCTACTCTTCATCGCGGTGCACAGGCTTCTCATTGCGGTGGCTTCTCTTGTTGCGGAGCACGGGCTCTAGGCGCACGGGCTTCAGTAGTTGCGGCACGTGGGCTCAGTAGTTGTAGCTCGCAGGCTCTAGAGCGCAGGCTCAGTAGTTGTGGTGCATGGGCTTAGTTGCTCCGTGGCATGTGGGATCTTCCTGGACCAGGGCTCGAACCCGGGTTCCCTGCACTGGCAGGCGTATTTTTAACCACTGAGACACCAGGGAAGCCCTAGCATGAACTTCTTAATAGTCCCATGTTCTCTGTCAACGAGTACACTCTAGCTCCCTTCTCACTAAGTAAGGATAAACGGTCAGTGTTTTAAAATGCAACTTGTCAAAACTTTGTAGATCTCACTTTCATTGGGTTTCAAAGTGAATACTATTGACATCTTGGGAAAGGTAGTTCTTTATGTGCATCCTTCATTCCCAGATATGAAAGGCCAGGAGCAACTTCCCAGCCCCATCCCTCATCGTGATAGTTGAGAAGTACCCCTGACGTTTCCAGATCCACCCTCTAGAGGGCGGTAGCTTCCCAAGTTGAGAAAATGATTGGTAGTCGATTTCTAGTTTATTTTGGAGAGAGTGAAATAGTTAATTTTACAAGTTAAAATTGTGACCATTATATTTCTATCTACTGTTTATAGTTTGGAGCTAGGCCTGAATCTTTAGATAAAATGAAGAAAATATGGTAAACTTAGCATCTGTGGAAAAATACAGAATCCAAAAACTGATACTGTATTTACCCTGAAAACTTATAATGTATTTTAGAGAGCAGAATATTTCTCCCTCCTTATCTTCTCTCTAGGCTTTTAGACCTCTCAACCAGCAAAGATTCCATTTTTAAATGTTCATAACTTATATTCTCAGGTTTTTCTTACCTGTAAAATTCAATGGTTATGTTTTGACTGAGGCATATCTAAAAATGTTCCAAGGTACTTTGCTAGCAATTTCAAACAGTGCAATTTACTAAGTAAGTTTCAGTCTCCCTGGTTGTATTTAGTCTCTTTGGGTCATCATTTTCTCATTTGTAAAATGGGGGGAATGACAGCAGATATTTCAGTCCTAACATTTTATGATTCTCAGCAAAAACAGGCAGGAAAGCCAGGAAACGGTGTTTACAATACCTCAGACAGAAAAGGCCCTCAGACCTCAGACAACTGTGCCTAGACAGTTGAGAACTGGTGCTAGGATCTGCTATTAATTTACACCACATTCTGCCAACCTAATGCAGCCCAGGATCACTGCTGTTCTATCCAATTGACCCACAATGGATTTTGCTTTAAGAAAGTTCTCTTACTGTGTTGTTTTCTGAGCATACGTCAGCTTACTGATACTCCTTAATCCATCGATCTTAGTGTGAAGAGTGCCCTCCCATCATTAATCATTTACACTATGACAGCATGCAGGAATTAGTAAAGAGTAGAAATTAATGGCAAGGTGTCAGTACAGCCCCCTCATGTCCACAGAACAGAAGTTGTTTTGAGGGGCTAGAAAATGATTTAGTAACTTTATACCAGTTGGTTCTGCAGCCTTGTTGTGTTCAGCATGTCACCCCTTTTGTATTCATGACACCTTAAAAGGAAGAAAATATGTGCCATCGAAGAGTTTTTTGACTTCAATGTGATATTAAATATGCATTTTTATTTTTTAAAGTTCCATATCTTTCTTCCCCTCTTTAAAACAGGAGCATTTCCTTCAAACTTACTGAGACAAAGTGAAGTTTAAACATTTTGCATTTTTAATCACCATAAACATCAAGCCCTACTAATCATTAGGTCTTTACTGTGTAGTTCCGCAGAGTCTAAATTTGTTTATGTTACTTGCAACAATTCCCATGACAACCAAGGAAAAGTGGAGCACAGATGCAATCCTGTGTGCTTGTGTTTCTTGATCACTCAGACGCTTTTTGCAAAATGGAAATCAAGGCTAGTTTCCTGCAGATGACTAACTTGGAGCTCCACCTGTGCCAGACATGGCAGAGCTGTTAATCACTGAGTAGGAACCCAGCACTGAAGCTGAGGCGAGCTGTTTTGTCGATGGCCTCTGACCATTTACCCTGGCATCCCTCCCGCTTGGCTCTGTCTTGTGGAGCAATAGAATCATTTCCATTCTTTCTCAGAATGTTCCATTTTCTCTTGGC